TGCCAAAAATTGATCCGTTGATTTAACACTATCATTTATTAATACATCTATTTTATGAATTAAGAGAAATACAGGCTAGTTGAATTACAATTTTCTATATTAACTTACTATCACTGCATCAATCTGTTTGTCCGTGAATTTGGTCATAATTTGTTACAGATGATATGCTGGTAAATTATACTGATATCTTGTCTATGCTTCTTCATTAGCGTTTTAGGTATATAGATATGAAAAATAAGCCTAATCGTATCTCATCTGCCTCCATTGATAAGCACTTAATAATGTACCTGGTGTTTTTCTCTGTCTCACTCTAAACAGTATGGTTGTAGTAGTGTAGTGGGTTTTGGTGATAAGAATGGATATAAGTAATATGTGTTGAGAGGGCGGCAGAAATCATAGGGAATTACCAGCAATGGGTAAGGATTCTGTCAAGTGTCCTTCCCATCCCCACGCCGTCATATGCTGCTTCCACTCCACCCCTCAGCGACGTACCAAGTACCACAACCTTCGTTCCTGGACACCCGCCAGTTCCGCGGCCGACTCGAGGTTTCTGAGGAAGACCTTGATGTCTCCATCCTCGAGCACTGCAGGTCACAGAATCTTCATCACGTCCAGAAGCAGCGACACCAATTGAAAGGGAACGAGAAAACAGAGACGAAGGAATGCTTATTATTCACATGTAGTACAGTAGTCGTTAAATATGGTACACCTTGCGCTGAAACCATCATTTGCAAAATATGCTTCATTTCCTCTTCTGCTTCTTTCTTGATTTTCTCCTAATACGCCCGCGATGTCTTTTACGTTTTTCTGGTCAGTATCCTTACCTATTGCTGATAATATCCTATGATTTCTTCCACCGTCTCTACATATACTACTTATATCCATTCTTATCACCAACGTCAACTACAGCAGTACTACTGGTCAGAGGACAAATAATAATAATAGATACGTGGTCTGTGAGTGTCAAGGAACATAAATAGATAGACACACGAAATAAACTTGCCACATTTTATAATAGTATACAAAGAACAAGAGCATAGAACAAGCGTGACATCAAAGTAGACAAGGTTGTGTCAGAAAATAAACAATCCGAATGATAACAGTTAGTGCAAATATTCAAGCTTTCTAAGATATCAAGGAGTGAATACATCTGCATCATTGTCACCAATTCTCCGCCATGTCACCGAGAGTCCTTAACCACTGACTTCTTTCGTCTTGGAGATACCAGTCAGGCAGTCTATATCTTACCACACGGCTCAGACCAACAATCAACAACTTCATCGACTTATGCCACATTTTGGTGTTGCCGCTGTGGACCCTCTTCCAACCTACTCCTACTTCCCCTAACACGGCGCGTCGAGGTAGGCTGCAGATCGCTATGTGCGCCACATCTCCAAGTCATGTAAGCCGATGAAGGTTAGTAGCCTCATTGACTAACTTACCTTCCTTCCTTAGTACCCTTCGCCTAACTTCAATATTGCTCATATAGTGATTCCGTCGTACATTTGGTATGCTGCCAAGACATATGATCAGAACCCTGTAACCACTTCTTATCTTCTACATTCAGTAGCCAATAGAACAGAACAGACTGCAGCACGGTATACTTGTCCTTTGATAGATAGTCGGATATCTCAACAGTCGGTTGCTGGGATGACCCAAGTTGGCAAGTGCCGAAGAGGCTGAGATTTCATCAGCTCGTCGGTAACATAAATTATTATTTAATGTCTAACGACATATCTATTTGGCGTAACAAATATGGCACTTGTCCACTTTGATTGATAAAAATTAAACTGAGAGACGAGAAGACCAAAAAATTTATTGTCAAAGAGAAATTTATGTACTTGTTCTTCTCAGACCGAATCGTTAATTTACATTTGGATTGTTTGCATGAATAACATTCGTCCCGATTTTTGTCTCTTCGAGATATTTGCACATGGAATTATTCGTGTTCCGAAGAGTTTCGTAGTGAAGCCTATGAGGTATTACTTTAAAGATCACTTTACCGGTTACTGAAATCACTAATTAGATTTTCTTATTCTGGTTGAGGAGAAAAGTGGTTTGTTGTAAAATTCAATCAATCCTTACAGTTGTTGATAGGATGACCTTGAACGTCGCTCCCCATAACTCTGACAATTGATGATGTGAGCTTTTGTGTCTTAGGGGTGGTGGGGAATATGACCTTTTTTACATTAGTTATTTAATGATTTTATCACTATTTGCAGTTGAATTTTGCAGGAATATGAATTAGTAGATACCGGTTGACTATGTCAGGTAATTTGAATCACATTGTCAATTTCACCTTTGTACTATTATTTAGTTCATAATGAATACCACCTCAAAATTAAAATCCTTATTCACCTCAAAATACATTATTGTATGGTGCTTATTGGAGAAACTTAAAGGAAGTAGCCTCTTTCACCTATCTGTTTCAACTACAGGCGGCACAGACGAGGACGTCAAAGCCAGCTAGGATTGGAAATACAACAAGACAGGCGTTCACTAACCTGAAACCAGTGTGGAGATCTGCACTCAGCATAAAGCGTGAACAACATCCGGATTTTCAAGACCAACGTCAAGTCAGTGCTTCTGTATGGTTCAGAGACTTGGCGCGTTACGAAAGGGATTTCCAACATACTGCAGATATTCATCAACAACTGCCTACGCTGGCTCGTCACTGAAGCTCAGATCAGATGGCCAGAATAATAAGAATAAGCAACAAGGAACTCTGGCTGGTGACGAACCGACCAAGAACTTATCGCTCAACAAATATGCAGAATAAAGTGGAGATGGATTGGGTATTCACTGAGAAGGCCGACTGGGGACATCACGTGCCAGGTCAGGCCATGGAGTGAAACCTAGATGGTAAACGACGAGTTAGGCGTCCGTGGTGAGGGTGACATGGAGGGGATCGTGCGAGGAAGAAATGAAAGCTTGTGGGCTGTTGTGGAACCAGGTTGAAAAGAGTGCACTGGAGACGTGTTATTGAACCTTTATGTTCCACTAGGAACCCAAGGGACAAATAATAATAATAATAATCCATCACAGACTGATATCAGTTGGAGAACCACTAGAAACTTGGGAGCAGTGGACAGCTGTTTCATCGTAGCATGAGACTCCTCAGTAACACGCAGCCATAATCCCTTCACTCACCAGGGATTAAACTCAGAACCTTCACCTTTCATACCAAACTGGTTAACCATTCAGCAACTGGGTCGCAGTTCAATGCTTCATAGTTTCCAACTTCTGTCTATTCGTGATACAACACGACTATCATACAAGGCCTGTTGGTATCCGCTTCCCTTCTGACTGGTTGACCCTACTACAGGTAAGAACTTTCCATTAGAACTTCGGGATATCCATGTGTAAGCATGTCACTAGTAATCACTATTATTATTATTTGTCCCTCGGGTTCCTAGTGGAACATAAAGGTTCAATAACACGTCTCCAGTGCACTCTTTTCAACCTGGTTCCACAACAGCCCACAAGCTTTCATTTCTTCCTCGCACGATCCCCTCCATGTCACCCTCACCACGGACGCCTAACTCGTCGTTTACCATCTAGGTTTCACTCCATGGCCTGACCTGGCACGTGATGTCCCCAGTCGGCCTTCTCAGTGAATACCCAATCCATCTCCACTTTATTCTGCATATTTGTTGAGCGATAAGTTCTTGGTCGGTTCGTCACCAGCCAGAGTTCCTTGTTGCTTATTCTTATTATTCTGGCCATCTGATCTGAGCTTCAGTGACGAGCCAGCGTAGGCAGTTGTTGATGAATATCTGCAGTATGTTGGAAATCCCTTTCGTAACGCGCCAAGTCTCTGAACCATACAGAAGCACTGACTTGACGTTGGTCTTGAAAATCCGGATGTTGTTCACGCTTTATGCTGAGTGCAGATCTCCACACTGGTTTCAGGTTAGTGAACGCCTGTCTTGTTGTATTTCCAATCCTAGCTGGCTTTGACGTCCTCGTCTGTGCCGCCTGTAGTTGAAACAGATAGGTGAAAGAGGCTACTTCCTTTAAGTTTCTCCCGTTGATAGTAATTGGAGCTTCTGGTTGTTGTTGGTGTTATTGGTTGGGTATCTTCATCACCTCTGTCTTCTCCACGTTCACTTGAATTTCAGTCTTCTCTGCTCTGCCTCTTCTGTCACCTTGTTAGTTTGGGCCTGTAGATCTTCAAGTTTGTGTAACATTAAACACAAGTCATCGATGAAATCTAAATCTTCTGGGTTCTTTTTCGCGGTCCAGCCAGCGTTTGCCCCCCTTCTCGCTCCTTACAGTTTACTGCATGATCCAGTCCGGTCCACTACAATCAGGAATATCATGGGTGATAGTGGGCAGCCTTGTTTCACTCCTGTCTTCACTGCCAAGGCATCACTGAGCCTTCCATTGTGAATTACTTGGCGTGTGTCATCTTCATACAGTTGTTGAGTGAGGCTGATAAAGATTTGAGGTATTGCGTAGTGTTGAAACAACTGTCAAATTACTTGTCGGTCTATGCTGTCAAATGAATGCCTTTTCAAAGTGGATGAAGTTGAGGTGTAGAGTTGACTGCTGCACTTTACTCTGTTCTATGATGATGCATAGAGTGGCGCTACAATTTGGTCTGCACATGATTTGTACTTCCTGAATCCAGCCAGCCTGTTCCGGTGGTAGTTTTGAATCCAGCACATGCTTTAGTCTCTCCAGGATGATGGGGGATAATATTTTGCTTGTGGTGGACAGGAGCGTAATTCCGCGCCAGTTACTGCAAAGACTGAGGTCTCCTTTCTTCGGGAGTTTGACAAGATAACCTTTCTTTCAATCGACCAACAGGTACCTTTTCTTCCTTCCAGACCTTCTGCAATAGTGGTGTGAGCATGTGATGAATACTGTCTCAGAATTAAAATGTCCATTAACCTCGAAATATATTATCTAGTTGGTTTTTCTCTCTCGATTACTGTACATAATAGTTTTACAGTTCTAAAAAATTTCTTTTTCCCTGTGTTTGTTTTACATCTAAGGCTATTGCAATTGTCCTAATGGGTGTAATTGGTATGCGTTTCGGTTCAAGGAATAATGACAATAGTAATAATTATGATAATAACAGTAATAAAAAACGTCATCCTGCAGTTGTTGCACGAGATTTAATCACCTCACCATTAGTTATTACACAGGATAGAGCATACAGTGTAGTGAATACATGTGATCATGGATTAACATCACCATGTTTTATACCAACTGATAATATGGATAAAGTGTCAACAGGAATATCATCAAATCATTTATCATTGGAAAATTTTTCAGATTATACTTATCAATGCTATGAGATACAAGATGGTTTTGGATTAGATAATCATCATCTAGCTAGATCAACTTGCCAATGTTTAACAACTTTATTATTCAATGGAGGTATGTAAAAAACCATTACTTTATACCCTACTCTGATTTAAATGATCTTCATCATATTTTTCAACTCATATAATGCATTACATATGACTGTTAGTGTATTATATTTCGCTTACTGATTATACTATTCCATGTAAAGCAAATTAATTTACAGGTTTGTGGGGAATTAGGGATTTTTCAAGTTGATATTCATCATGCAATGACATCATTTGGAGGAGAATTAGGAACCTGGGAGCACTCGAAAGTTGTTTCCTCCTAGTATAGGACTCTTCAGCAGTGCGCACCCACTACCCCACCAGGGATCGAACCCGTGACCTTCGGGTTCTTTGGTCAGCACGTTACCACTGAGTCACTGGGTCGGATTCCAATGGTCTATATTTCAAACTCCCGTCAGTTCACGACGTAGCGCGACCATCACCTTATGTCATCGTTGAGTATTTATCCTCATAGCCACCAGGTTTACCAACTTGACAAATTTCTAAATCCTCACAAACCGCCGAATTCAATAATCCAGTGTTCATCGGTGACTAGCTTTAAGAGGTGATTCCTGAAGTTACAATGAGAAGCCTTGACCAGTAGGGAAAACCTGGTGGCGATGAGGACAAATACTCAACAATGACATTAGGTGATGGTTGCGCTATATCGTGAACTGACAGAATTTAGAAATATGGACCTTTGAATTCCCACCCAGTGGCTCGATGGTAACGCTCTGGCCATGTGCTCTGAAGGTCCCGGGTTGGGTCCCTGGTAGGGAAGGGATCATGGATGCGCACTGCTGAAGAGTCCCATAGTATGAGGGAACAGCTCTCCAGTGCTCCCAGGTTTCCGATGTTCCTCTAACTGATGTCAGTCTATGATGAATACCAACTTTATTGCTAAAGATTTAGTTAAGTAATTAAAAGCAGTCAATGGAAAACCTTATTCCTTCATATTATCCTGTAAACGCATCAGCGGTATTTTACGCGATAAAGACAGTTGTCGAATCGAAGATGCTAATTCCACAGCTTACTGTTTTAGGAATGAATCAAATAAGCCAATAGTTGTTAAAGATATCGAATAGTATTCATGCTCATATGCAAATTGATGACTTCAATTTGCATATTCCAGTAGGTGCCTGGGTTCACTCAAAGCTTTAAATGTATCTAACTGAAATAAAACTCTCAAGAGTTTCATATCAGTCTACTTTTTAACGATAAATCAACCTCAGACTGATCATACTTGATGTTATCATCAACCGGTTGAAAGACTGATGTATAACTTATACTTCAGGAGATGCCTTTGTTTCAACTGTGAGGTGTTCATTGAGCTAAAGTTTTAGTTGTCCATTGGAATTGCATAATCTGTTAGGAAGCTACAATTATACAGTATAAGTGGTATTTATATATAACCATTTTATAAATCAATATTCAATACTGGAAAATTGACGCCGTCAAAGTTATAACTTCATCAGAACAAACCGGTCCTTCACTCTTCTTTTTTATGTATTTCAAGATAAACCTTTCAAATGTGAGAGGGATAATCAATCTTATAATACAACTTGCGTCAACCTAATATGTTCAGGGCAAATGTATTTCCACTGTTGAATTTTTCTTACTGGGAAGTATTTAACAACTGTTTTTTTTGTAGTTTAAGACTTCTATAACACTGTATACCTTCTCCTTTATATATATATACTCCCAATGTTGTGTAGTGCTAGTTTAAATGTTAAACCATATACTGCTTTACATTGATTACCGTCGACCGTTTGGCCTACTGTTTCCGTCGTCACGTCGATTCAGGTTTCCTTTTGGGTACTATTGGCTATCGAAATGAAGGGAATGCCGGACGTTGATCCCAACTAGTATTATGCTTCAAGTTACTACGTTCCAGTTGATCTCACAGCTACTGACTTTGCACCAACTGACTCAGAGAGCGGACGGAATTAGACTGTACACAATTATATTGTATATATGAAGAAATATAGAAAATGTATAAGACCTTAAAAGCGTAGGTGACCTGATCGAATATTAATGAATGGTAGTGACCTTAAAGGCCACCCTAAAAACTGCCGAAATGACCAATCAGGTTTCAGTATCTCTCCTGGGAAGTTAGTTATTCATCAAATGAAGAATTGTAATTGGCTATCTCAGCAGTTATTCGAGTGACCTTTAAAGTCATTCGAACAAAGTAAAGTGAAGGATAGTCATAATTGATTGACTTTTGCTCCCATTGTTTCTGGCTGTAATCGATACAACAGTTGCTAGATTTCAATTCACCATAACGTGATTTTAGAAATTCACACAGAAAAATGTTTATTTTCTCGTGGATTGTTTAAGAGTAGGTGATGAAAATGAATAGAATATTTAAGAGTCAATTGGGAACAAAGAATATTCTTCTCAATAACTTCTCATTAGATTCTATACTTATAAAATCAATTTCGTTAACATATCAATATCCAGAATTTACTATGAATACAATTAGGAATGGGTGTTATGGAAGTATAACTAAAATTTTACTCTTAAGATTGTGGATGGTAGTGTAATTTATATATGTATGTCAATTGTGGTGATAAGTTGAGTGTAAACTTTGTCAGTTGATTTGTGATTGACAGGGCGCACTATTAGACACGTCCATCTCAGGATACGATAACATCTACCGGCATGGTTTGCAAAAGGTGAGGTCAAACACATTAGAAGTCCTATACTAGCACATCTAATAAACACAGGACACCAAATAGGTGCTAGCATAGCTTTCACTGTGATATACCGCATTCCAAGACTCTACCATATGCCATTCGTTTACGCGTTCTCCGTATAGCGGAAGCTGTAGCTATAAGACCAACGAAGCCTGAACTTTGTATTCAAAAAGAGCACGTTCAAGCCCTACTCTTCCCTTGGCGTCCTATTAACTAAGCAGTATTCCCTCAACTCTTTTGTTTCTTTCTCAATTTTTTCTTCATCGTCCCTGCTCTCCTCTTTTCTCTCTTTTTAAAATAAAAAAATGAAATTATTATTTATGATTTAACTATCTAAGATAGCCGTAGTTTGGCAGACTATTATTTGTACTGGGTGATGATTGAAGGTGAGATGAAAATCCGGACCGCGGCTGGATTTGAACCAACGACCACCGGGTTACCGGCCCGGTGCTCTACCAGATAAGCTACGTGGTCCGACTGCTGATCAGAATTTTATTTCACTTGAATCACCAAGGATTTTGCCCGACTACCATGTGAATTCGTGACGCGTTACTACCTCTTGATCGTATTCACACTGGCTGCCTAATCAGGACTTCTCATCCCAATCCTTGGTGATTGAAGTGAAATAAAATTCTGGTCAATAGTCGGACCTCGTAGCTCAGTCGTTAGAGCATCGGGCTGGTAACCCGGTGGTCGCTGGTTCGAACCCGGCCGTGCTTTAGATTCTCATCTGACCTCCAATCATCACCCAGTAGAAATTAATATCGTTATTATTATTAATGCTATTTTTTAACCAGACTTTACTCCTGTCTTATTATTATAAAACTTTAAAATTCCTGTTAAAATGTTTTCACATTATTACTACTCTCGTTATCTTATTCATTTCATATATTAACCATCTTATGATGATAATCCACTCCATTTCTGCCCTTAGGTAAATTCATTTCATGATTCGTTGTACTAACCAGTCATTCGACACAATGCAATCTTGAACTTTATTAATAATTTTCCTTCCCTATACGTTTGATTATCAATCAATCAACAAAGTTTACACTCAACTTATCACCACAATTGACGTACATACATAATGTATTTTTGAGATGAATAGGGATTTTTAATTTAGAAGTACTATTCATCATGGACTGACATCAGTTGAGGAACCATTGGAAATCTGGGAGCACTGGACAGCTATTTCGTCCTAGTATGGGACTCCTCAGAAGTACTCACCCACGACCCGTAGAATTTGGAAATTGTAGACCACTAGAAACTGACCCAGTGGCTGAATGGTTAACGCGTTCGCCATGAAACCTGAAGGTTTTGAGTTCGATCCGTAGCCGGGTCGTAGGTGCGTACTGCTGAGGAGTCCCATAGTGGGACGAAACAGCTATCCAGTGCTCCCAGATCTTTAATGGTTCCCCAACTGATATCACTCCATGATGAATACTACCACTAAATTAAAGATCCCCATTCATCTGAGAAATACATTACTGTATAGTGCTCATTATTGACTTGCTTCCAGATGGATATCACGAAGCTCTAATAGAAAGCCGTGGCCTGTGGGGTCAACCAGTCGTAAGTGAAGCGGTTGCTAACTGTATACGTACATAAATTAATCTACCATCCACAATCTTAAAGAGCCAAATTATATAGTAATGACGGATAGTGCCTAGCAGTGGAATCTAGGATGCACATTTCGTCCTAATTGGGACTCGTCAAATTATACTTCCATAACACTCATTCCTAAATGTATTCACCGTAAATTCTGGCAACTTATATGTTAATGAAATTGATTTTATAAGTATAGAGTCTAATGAGAAGTTATTGACTTTTAAATATGTAAAATGGGAATTTTTTAATTATGTAAAATAAAATATTTTTCTATTGAATGTAAATTTTTAAAGTTATGATGGATTAGTTTGTTTTCAGTAGATGAGATAATATTCTTGTTGCATCATCTTTTCAGTTGTTACCGAGTGAGAAAAATGAAGTAACATCACCAATACGGTTAATTGTCTATTGAGAGCTTGATGTGAAGTTGTATAGATAGATAGATGTTGTTGTATTGTGTAAAATTTGAATACTCTTTTCTCTTCGATTTTCACTTACATATATAACATTTTCATTCACGTATTTAGGTTATCCAACTTTGTTACCAACAGACACAAATAATCCTGAAGTAGATTGGGGCCGATTACATGATCAAATTGTTGGTAGTCGTATAGAACCATTACCTGTTTACGCTGCCAATGCTCTAATCACTTTGTTAACATCAAATGTGAACAGTACACTGAGGAGAGCTGGAATTGATCTACTAGGCCGTGGATTCCCTGTATGGGAACCATATGTTGATGTTGGACAAGTGATTAATGCATTATTATTGTTAGCTGCAGATGCTGAATTATTAATCTCAAGGTAGGTTTTATTCATCAAGCATTGGGGAGGTATAAAGATGAATTCTACTTTATTCGAATAATTTCTATGGCAAGAATCTTACTCATATGTTTTCACTAGTAAGAGTTATATTGTGTATCAGACACTAATCATGATTACCTCCGTTGTTACGCGTTCACTATGGGACTGTGCACTCAACATGAGAGTTTTTATCACATCTATTTGATTCCTATTTAATTAGTTGGTTGGTATTAATTGTTTATAAACAAGCATAGATGAAGTTCAAATGATAGCTAATTTGAGCATCGAAATGCTACAATCCTGAAAAGAAAGTTTGTATTCATTTATCTCATTTTTAAGAGGAATGAACTTATGAAGAAAGTGATTTGGAAATTCTGAAGTATACTGAAAAATAATTTGTTGAATGCCAAAATTCATAACACTATACAATGCACAGTTTTGGCTTCATCATTTCTACTCGTTTCACTCTAAATTGTATCTATTATCTCACTTGTACCTAGACATTGTAAAGAATATTTGCAGTTTAATGTATGAATGTTGAGAATAAGTTGTTTTCTTGCGTAGGGTTTTACTTGGTAAACGTTCCAATGTCACCGTAGACATTATCATCATTAGTTCACTAGAGCTACATAAGGAAGTGAAGTAATTGTTTGTGGCTAAATATTCTACCTGTTATAAATAAAAATGGACTTCTTCAAAGTATTCCTAATAAGCTTAGGCACCAAACGACCTCATAGTTGAAACCAAGAAGCCATTTGGTACCCAGTATAAAGAGGAGTGTTTGACTGCTCAAACAACGTCACTTGCTTAAGAAGCCGTGTCACTGTTGATGGGTTGACAGCTGTAAAACTTTTGACACTGTTACAAAAAGATCTATTTATCTTTTCCAAATCTATGCACCTTTTCTAAGCTAGTTAGGTGGTAGACTACTTACTAAGGTCTGGGTTTACTAAGTAGCAGTTTTCTCTGTTCTACTCTAATTCTTCAAAATGTGGTCAGTGAATGTAGGGAGCAGTATTGGAAATATTTAGATAGTTGAATACCTTTACCTCTTAAGTATCACCCACACATGGTTGGATCACTATATCAGCAATGCAGAGCTTTGAGTGAACCTGCATATGCTGAGGTAGCTAAAACATATGTTGGGCATATGAAGCCTCCATCTGCTCAACGTGATGTTGGTTATAATAGGATTAGATAAGAAGGAAGTCGAAAGTGGTCAGATCAATTCACCAATTATGTCGTTATTAATCGTTTGAGACATACTGGGAAGTGTATGCCTGATGGATGTAGTCTGTGAGAAAGTCGAAACTGATAGTTGAAAATTCTGGGTAACAACACTTTGAACAGATTATATTGAAGCAGATGTATCCATTTTCTCGGATCCCATTTTTCATCTTAAAGTTTTCCACTTATTTCCACTTTCTTGTTTTTTTGTGTTGTTGTTGTGTGTTTATTAATGAGGTGGTGTTATGTGACGTGAATTAACCGGTTATGCGGTATTCCAGGTCCTAGATGGATAATGTTTGTGTCTGGTTTTGAATTCACGTTTTCAGCTATAAGTTATGATGAAGGGCCGATTTCATTTAGGATTTCTTCAAGGAGAATAATCTCTCCTTCGTTCAACTCCTGCTAGTTAGAATATTAATTCCACTTCTGGATAACATTCCTTTTTTCCCTGGACCGATTTCAATCTATTATCCTCCTTGACTACAGCACTGTGTATACTTATTTTACGTGATCAGTGTTGTTTCATTACTAAGTGTGTATATTTCAAGTTATTCCATCTTTTTATTCTCTCAAGTGACGCATCTTGTCAACTAATCTCTGATCGGGTTGATTTGGCACGTACAGCACGTGAAGCTTTATGGGCAATCGCATTCGCTCGACCAAAATTAATAACGTTAGCCTTATCACTTGAAGTACGACGTTTCGGTTCTCAGATTAATGCAGCTGCTTCAGCAGTAACATCCAATACTAGTCGAGTATCGAACACTTCATCATCTCAACCGAATTTAAGCAATCCAAAGTGGGGTAGTAGATCAAATTCACTTTCTAAAGATCCGGATAATTTAATGCATTCTTCACGACGGGATTCATTAAACGCTGGAAGTGAATTACAGTCATCTACAAATATGGTAGTTATGATGGCTAGTCCAATTGTTGCTGCACCTGTTTTTGCTCCCAGCAATACTGGAGCAAATGTTAATCGGTCAACATCTGGATATGGAGGTAGATTTTATTTCTAGCTTACATTTTCTGTTGTTTTTTTTTAAACGTTATTCTGGTACCACATCAAATCTTTCGTTTAACAGGTTCCAAGTTCGAACCCCGTTTGGTTAGGATATTACGAATAACCGCAAACTATTGTTTTGGAAAGTAGATACCACTTACCACTAACTAGATCTATGTTGTGATCGGTAATAATAATGATAATAACGCTAGGTCGTGAAGACCAAGCGCCTGCATACTGAAATCCGTTTCTTCGCATGAAACTAACAACAACGCTCAACAAGGTGTGTTTACTTGATACTAATTTGTGTTCAAAAATCGAAAGAAATATGTTTTTCTCATGCTCATTATTCATCATCTTGTTCTATCGATGGATCTGATTATCATTTAGGGAAAATGATTATTGTGTGCTGTTGCTTGTGTTATCTCGATCATTGATTGGATTGGATTCATCGGTCTCTATCGGGATATGGGTTCCTATGCAGCTACCTCGAAATTGCCTATCGTTTCATGTGGGTTCAATTTTTAGAGGGGATAACATCGCTCATTGTGAAGCAAGTATATCTAGCTGTCGAGTCCCAAATAGGACGAAACGCAGGTCCTAGATTCCACCGCTAACCCGTTTTTAACGAACCTTTATTTTATTTTTCCTTCTCCATTCCTAGACTTTTGTCTACTTTAATAACATTCATTTTCGATCCACACTGCTCTATTGCAGGTTAACTGTGGGGTTGTGTAACAACCTGAGCTATATATTAGTTCCTCTTCCTATCTGCTTATTCAATTTTTAACCATTACTTGATAACCTAATTATGAAATAAACACTAGGTTTTATGGTAGTGTACTGACAGACTATTTGTTTAAGTATAAACTGTTGCCAAAAGGCAGTCCATGTTACAGTATCATCGACGTTAGATAGACTATTCATCGTACTTATTAAAGTGTAACCAACACATAGGAGGATATTATTGATGCCTATAAATAAGCATTCCCAACAAACTACAGATATTCATCAACAACTGCCTACGCTCTTCACTGAAGCTTAGATGGCCAAAAAGAATAAGCAACAAGCAACTCTGGCCTTGCAACAAACCAACCAAGAAGCTATCGCTCAACAAATATGCAGAAGGAAGTGGAAGTGGAGATGGATTGGGCATGCACTGAGAAGACCATTCGAGGACATCACGCGCCAGGCCAGATGGGAAACGACGAGTTGGGCGTCCGAGGCGAGGGTGACACAGAGGAGACTATGTGAAGAAGAAATGAGAGGTTGTAGGCTGTACTGGAGCCAGGTTCGAAAGATGGAAGAGGAGAGAGTGCAATGGAGACGTGCTACTGAATCCCTATGTTCCGTTAGGAATTCAAGGGACAAATAATAATATAATAAATAATAAGCTGTTTTTATCAGAGATTCAGCCTGACGTTGGCGTTGTGTGCAAGTGTGTTTTGATTTCCTCATTTAATTGAAGACTACCTTCAGAAGTTGTTGCCATCGAGCTGCCTTAGGTTGACACACAGAAAATGAGGCAGAAAGATAGCTATGCCACCTATATATATACACAGTTCTCTGTAAATTTTTTCTTCCTAGTGGAATATCATCGAAGTCAGAGCCTTTTATAGACTATACTATTCACTTCCAGACAACAATAATTGAAACTATTCACAAATTTATGGAGATTATAAAATGAATCGCTCAGTGATAAGTATGTGTTACGTCACTCTTAGTTAGTGTGCATGAAACAATACGTGAATAACTCAGAAAGCTCACAATTGTAATTTCTTCAATGAGTTCAAGCATGAAAATTGAACCGTACAGAAAAGCTTCTTATTGGCTTATTTATGAACAACACTCCAACACATGTAAAATGGATTTTTATTCAGCTTGTGATGTAGGGATATAGAGAGAGAAATGACTAGCCTGAAGGGAGATCAATCAAAATGTACTTTATGTAATCACTGCTATGGTTAGACAGACAGACGGTGGATCAGCCAACCAATCGAATTATATATATATATATATATATATATATATATATATATATATATATATATATATATATATATATATATATATATCGTGTCCGTGTCTTCCGTCCGTCGTGTCTTCTCCATGAATTAGTCGGGTCGGGAATCCACTAGGAATTGGTTGAACATTGGTGGCTGACACTCGATATAGGTGCATCGCTAGCGGTCATAGCACATAACAGTTGTCGAAGCCATAACAACCTGTATAGAAATACTTATAGGTTTCACTTACACCGGTATATTTGAATTCTTTTTTTGAATTTGTTATTCAAAAAAAAAAATCCCATTCTACTAATTTGTTAATGGAAAACTGATTCACTTGTGGATTGTTTTTATCTCAAACTGATATCACATAGAAAGTACTGAATGGCTGTTTCATACTAATGTTTAGGTAATCAGTAGCCCTTTATTTTTGGTTTCATACTATATTGCATGGTTAGTATGCTGATTTTTTCAACTAAGTGGCGGCTGTCCAGTAGTTGGGTGGAGACATGCTTCCTCTGAAACATATGAGTCTATGCTTCGTTCGGGTTTAGGGTATAGTGTATTCAGTGTTGGAAAGTCACATACTAGAACAAAACTGCTGAACCCACCTGTTTCTGTCTATCGTTTTCTAGTTGGCGTGAAATTTTCAACCGCATTTCGAAAGTCAGAGTGGCATATGTCAGTCTGGGCCACTTTTGAGGCCATCGCGATGTCAGTCTAGCCTTAAAAGGTCGGGTTTACGACGTTTCGGTGCGAGCAGTTCTGCACTACCCTGGCCTCTGCGAGCTGAGGATGTGCAACGACTCTGTATGTTTGACCATTGTTGTCTCCGTAGGATTGCACGTATCCGGTGACAACATCATGTAGGTAATTCTGAGGTACGACAGCGTGTGTTTGGGAATGATGGAGATCATCATTCAATAAGTAAAGTCATCTGGAAACACCGGTTTCGGTGGCTTACGTATGTGTTACGCATGTCGTCCCAACGGCTTCCTTACCGTTCATTGCTTGTTGGCCTTAGGACTGGATGGAAGAAACAGAGAAGTGGTCGGTGTATGACGTAACGCCGTGAGATGAAGGGTAGTTGTATCGGGTTATCATCTGTTGGTGCATCACAACTCTCCGGCTAGGGTCCGGGAGATCGCATAACTCAGTGGCTTGAGACGTTATGAGATATGGTTTAGAATCAAAATAAGTGGCGGTTGTACTGTAGCTTCCTCCTATCTTCTGCTGCTGAAAAGTAATGAATGTTTTGTTTAAAATGTACCATAGTGAACAGTCCTTCTGATCATGCTATTCTTGTTTTTTTTTTAATTACTTATCCACTTCCCATCGCTTCATAATGTTGTTATATTATTTTGTGTAGCGTATTTCTTGGTGCCATTACTGTACCATGTTTGTGTTTTAATAATAATATTGATAATGACGTCATTTCGTGGTGAACGATATCGCATTAAAGTGATTGGATAATCCCATTCTTATTGAGGTAAAGTCTAGTTTGTTTCTTCTGCGACTTCGTGAACACCGAAAAAACCGGAATGCACTTGGTGACTAGTCTCATGTAGTACAGTAGGCAGTGGACCGCATCTGCTGCATATTGGTTAGTGATACTATCTGCTGCTCAGACCTCGGTAAGTGGATCTGGTCTCGATCCCGTGACCTATTGATTTGAAGTCAATTCCATGAACCAATGCATCACAGCTCCACGTTTTCCTGTTTAGATTGATTATAACTACTGATTGGCTAACACTAAACTTGCACTTTATGACAGCATTGTAAGCGTAACCTGGTTTCTGTTTGATTCCACTAATCAATTGGTCGTGGAGATTATTCTTATAGCAAAGTTGTTTATTTGTTGATAAATAGTTGTCATATTGACAGATTATTCATTCGTTTTCATACGGGTCCTCCACCATTCATTACTAATTTGAATAGTAGAAAGAATCGACCAGTTTGTTATAGTTCTTGATCTTTTGGGACCAGGGTCAGTCCACTTGTTAGATATGGTAAATATACGCCATGGAGATGACAGTCAGAGTTGCGTAATAATCGCAATTGATTTTAACCATTGGAAATCATACTCTTCATCACTTATGAAAACTTCTTCACTACAAAATCTAATGGCCTTTGACTTCACTGTAGTTGGAGATTAAACATGAACATTTCCAAAGTCGTGGTAGAGATGTTCAACATTTCCTAATTCACATCATCATTTCAAATCATATTCAGTTACAAAAGGCTCGGCTGGCGTTCTCCAACTTACACCATCTATGGCGCCGCCGTGATATCCGTTTGTCTATTAAGGGTCGCGTGTACTGCACAGCAGTCCGGTCTGTTTTACTGTATGTCTGTGAAACATGGCCATCGAAGATGGAAGACATGAGAAGGCTTCAGGTGTTTGACCACCGTTACCTTCGTAGTATAAGCCGTATTCCGTGGTGTCATCACGTGAGTAATGCAGAAGTCAGGTATAGTGTTTTAGGGAGTAGAGGTAAATCAGTTGACGAGGTCATGAACCTTCATCGACTGAGATGGTTAGGACACGTACTACGTATGTCTAGTCACCAATTGCCTTGTCACACAATGTTGGCTGAAGTAGGTGCGGGCTGGAAAAAGGCCCGAGGTGGCCAGACTAAAACATGACACCAATGTATTAAGTGTTTTACTGTTAGTTTGAGCTATGTGGGGTGATGCAGACTAGCCGGTTGCTGTCCGCAGGACAAGGGAAACCAGTGGTGATATGGCTGCGAACCGATATCAGTGTCGCAGATGTATGTGCTATACCGAATGTCACCATTTTCTCATTCCTCCTTTCTCTCTTTTCGTACTTTATATTTCCTTTCGACTGAATTTTTTCTTCACTTTTCAGTTCACTGCCCTTTTACTTGATGCACTGATACGAGCTGTAGTAACTGTGACCGTTAAGCAGTTATGCCTGGTTCTATGTTGATATTAATGATGATGATGAGGGAATATGCTTTCGAAATAATACTTGTCCATTAGTTGACATACCTTTTTATTTTCTTGAACACAGGTACAGACTCTTCAGGATCTCATAATCCAATTTGTCCACCAATGTTCAAAGCTCGTGAAGAAGTGATACGTTTATTTGAACAGCTTTGTGTTAGAAGACCATCTGATATCAAAGATGTATTACCAGAAGTTGTTGAAGTTATTTTAGCATGTTCTGATCGTACACGTTTAAAAGAGCGTGGATTAGATTATGTATTCCCAGCACTTACACCGTAAGTTGTAAATGTATCTAATTTTATTATCTATGTATAGTTTCACCTTGCCTTAACAGCTGTCAAATTAAAAACCTTCTTGTAAGCATCCCTTGTATCAACATTGTTGAGTTGAAAACATTGTCTTTGTGTAGCCATTCAGACATCAGAGTCTAAGTGAGCATTTTTAATGTGGTCGACGATATCCCCACAGCGTCTCCCAACAACGCATGATCTGAATCCAGTAGCATAACAGTGACAGTGTTAGTTATTTGTTGGTTGGTTAGTTGGCAGTTGGTAGCTGCTTGCCTATCCTAGTAGGTCTTAGTGTTTTCACTAATTGAGTTCTGAAAGCTACAAATACTGGCACCAATATTGTACCTGGTATTACGGCGTAACGGTTCTGGTGGTCATACTTCATATCAGCACACCAAGATGAAAGACAAAGACTTGGGGAAGAAAATTGTGAATGTGACATTAAGTAGTGAAAGAACAACAAGAAGGAGTGACACAATACTGAAATTCGTTATTCTGATATGGGCATGCATCTGTGCCATTGAAGTCGGTTCTGATTCATATTACCTGGAGTTTCAAGCCACCGATTTCGGTTGTCAAGTCGACTTTCTCTTATATGATTCAGATTAATGGTCAAATACTTTAAGGGCTAGTACCATGTTTTAGTTCGGCCGCCTCTAGTCCTTTTCCAGCCAGAATTTGTGTTGGCTAACATTGTGTGACGTGGCAGACGGTGACTAGGCATGTGTAATAAATGTCCAGCCACGTCTGTTGACAAAGGTTTACAACCTCATCAACTGTCTCTCTGCATCTCCCCAAGGGTTTACTCCTAACTTCTGCGTTACTGTGTGGTTATTCCACGTTACTCGTCCTATGCTAGGAAGGCAGCTGTGGTCAAACGCCTGAAGCCTCCTGATGTCCTCCACCTTCACAAAGAAACGACGGAAAGTTTCGCTACTCTTTTTAGTTCTCATTGTGCCGTTCAGTGGAGCAGAGTATAGGCAGCTGTCAACTGGGATCCAGTAGAGCACTGTACTTTTTACATTATCACTTAATGCTATACCTATAACTTTAAGGCTGAAAATACTGGCCATCAATTCTGCAGAACTTCCGAAACTACATTTTTTGGTTTCACCATATTGACCGGGTGAGATTAAGTGAACAACCACATTTAGGTCTAGCAAACACAGCACATGTCTATGACCCGAGGTGATAGAGTTTTGGCTAACCGAAGCTTTTTGACCAATTTGACAGGAGGTTAAGAGATTGGAAGCTCCAATGCGTAGTTTAGTGCGTGGTTTCAAGACACCACGGATGCTGTTCTGCAAACTTGGATCGTTGTTAATAGCTCAACAGCTGGAAGAAATTGAAAATGATGTTGAATAATTGACCGAGAAGTGAGAAGAAGGACTAAAAGGGGAATATGTAGAAAGTTGACAGTGATCTGAGGACTCTTGAGTACTGAGAGAGTTGTGGGTAGTTAACACTTCTCTGCTGCACACAGCATGGGAAGGTATTTGTCACATTTATGCGTTGTAATTCACTATGAGATTTTATTGATCTGATGTAGAGCTTTTCCATTTATCGGGATGAAAGTTTGTTGGATAGTATTGAATAATTAGAGTTTTGGTGTAAATGCTTCAACAAAGAAATACATTTTGAAATATTTTATACGACATTTGAGTCATACAAATTTGGTTCCTGTGGCTAATGTGAAGCTTTCTTGGCCAGCGAGAAATAATACTATTACTCACATGTAGAGTTCTATATGTGTATAATATCATGTTGTTCTGAATTAACGTTACCATTGTGTTGTAGTGCTCAAGTAATGGCAAGAGAAGCAAAGGTTGTGCCATGTTAAACAGACAGACAGATCAATGTAGAACCTGGTAGAGAATTGCATCGGTTCAATACGCCTTGTCTTAAAGCAGAATGCAAAAGGAGGCGGATAGGAAATGAATGATATAAAGGTACACAAAGGTGTATAATAGGGAGGAGAATAAGTTAATAGGTGGAACCAATAGTCAGAGATTTCATGGACTGGTCTTGTGTTCTAGTCTGACTGACTTTAACCTTCTTCCAACCTAATCGTACTTCGGCTAACAAGGAGCATCGGAGTAGGTAGGTGGCTTCGCATACTTAGCATTATTTTGTAGCCAACTCAGTCGATGAGTACTCACAACCTCATCAACCAATTAGCTTTTTATCTGCTGTTCTGCACCGCATCTCATTACTCCTCACAATGTCGCCTATGGTCTAAAACATGTAAGCTTTTTATATCTTCTACTTACAACTGCGACATCCCACAACTATGTGGTAGGACAGTGGACTGCAACTCTGTATACTCACCCTCCAATACACAGTCGGCTGTCTTTCTGGTCCTATTTGGCGACGTAAGTTAACAAACGCCAAACGGGCCTTTTTTATATTAGCTGGTAATTCTCCAACAAATGACCCATTCGGGCTAACGCGACTATTCAAGTAAGTGAAGTGGCCAACATATTCCACCACTTCATTTCCCTTAACGGTGCAAAGACATTTGAGCATGATCAAATCAAGATATGATGCGAACCGATAAATTGAGTGATTCTTGGTCTTAGCTTTACAAAGAATGATTGACTACTCTATTGAAGTCGTTTAAATGATATGTTAATCACTTGTCGAAGACATTTAGTATTATTTATGTTATTACTTGTATTATCCCGTCGTTGATTGGACCGAATTAATCGGTTTCTATTGGGAATTGGGTCCCTAAACGGATTTCTTGATATTGCCTGTATTTTCGATTTTGATATGAATGATAGATAATGGCTGACAGTGGAATCTAGGATGCGTGTTTCGTCCTACTCGGAGCTCGTCAGCCGGATGTACCTGCCTCTCAGTGGACGAAGTTGTTTCCACTAGGACTAGGGGTTCGGATTGATAGCTTCAAATATCAGAGCCCTAGGTCTTCGACCCACATTAGTCACATGAAGTGGCTTCAATCACAGTTATACAGGTGTATTTATAGTTAACCACTGAAATTTTGGATATGTTTTACAAGGTTTCTTTTTTCATCCTCTCCCTTAACATACACACGTTTTGTCTATTATAACATGCTTCTATTTTTGCTTATTGCCTCTTGATGTGCTGTTACAAAGTCATGCAAGATGAACTAATTCGTTTCTGTGCATGGGTTTGTATTTGTGTGTGTTTAGGTGTAGCTTCAAAGTTTTTCATTATTAAATTAACGTGTAGAAACACCACAGAGTGTGGTCATCAATTCACCTACAAATGACTGTGAACAGAATATTCACTTAGTTATGAAGTAGGAATTATGCGTTGTATAGTGAACTAAGGTATTATCAACGAATGTTCATCATACTTTTCTACTAAATAATAAAAGTTTTTTGAAAGTTAGGCGTATGCTTGGAACGCAAGTACAGTTCAATGCATACTACTGACTGAAATGAATAACTGTAGACCACTCATGTTAACCAGCATTTGCGAATATTGATCGTTTTGTTTGTTTGCGGTGATTCATCCAGTTGATGGGGTTGAATAGTTTGCAATCACTCCAGCAGTTGGCTACATAGATCCTTTCAAATAGGATACGCAGGGATCAACACTGAGAGATGAAGAGTTCGTTCACACGGTTATTAAGGGACTACTACTGGAAATAATTCGTACAGGCTAATAATAATGAGAAGAAGAAGAAATTTTACGAAGGTGCATCAACAACAATTGACTTAACGAAGATAAGTTCCAAGTTGTTATTCATCGAAGACTGACATCAGTTGGAGGAACAAAGGAAACCTGGGATCACTGGACAGCTGTTTCGTCCTAGTATGGGACTCCTCAGCAGTGCGCACCCATGACCCCACCAGCAGGGATCGAACCCGCGGCCTTCAGGATCCGCGACCAGCGCGTTACCATTGAGCCACTGGGTCAGAATCCAATGCTCCATATTTCCAACTTCTGTTAGCTCACGATATAGCGCAACCGCCACCAATGTCATCGTTGAGTATTTGTCCTCACGACCACGAAGATAAATAGACTGCAGTTATATTGTTTAAAAAAGCACCAGAAGGTGTTAAAATAAATCTTCAGGATGTAACCACTTGTAGTGTATTCAAACTAACAGATTCATTCAGCAATCTTAAATTTTGTTGATTTGTTGAACAAGAAAAACTTCACCATATACACAAGATAAACTTGTATTCAGTATGAGATCGAGTGAACACTGTAAAATCGTTAGTGTTTAATCTAAAGGGATATTGAAATATTGTACACTCAGAAAAATATTCATTGAATAACTGGTTAAATATGAGATTTAAAAAGAGTACTTTCCAAATTAAAGTGAAAAAACATATCAAAGAACAATTTAAGTAAATGGAAAGAAAGCGATGGCTACTTGGTTCGAGCCCCGATGGGAAAAGCATCACTCACTGGGGTGCAGGTACATCCAGCTCATGAGTCCCAAATAGAACGAAACGCGCATCATGGGCTCCTCTGTTAGTCATCAAGATCAATAAAAGATTAGTAACTCAGTTGACATTCACACACGTCAATGGTAATGCATGCAAACAATGTAGTTGGTCTAAATATAATAGTTTAGCTGGCCAGCAATATTCTTTTCGACAATTCCTTCCTCATTTACATCTATATATCCATATTGCTTAGACTAAAGGAATCAAATGTATGTCGACAATATGTAAGATTTCATAACTTGTAGGCAGTCTAAATGACAAGTAATCAGGGTTTTTTCTTAAGTTAAAATACTATACTGGATCGAATTCCTCGACCTCTGTTGCTAAGAGGGGCTCGTATGAGGATGCCTCGATCCTGCCGGATATTAATGATATTAAATTCATCTTGGTAACTAGGAGTGGAATCCAAGAGGCGCGTTTCATTCTATTCGAAGCTCATCAGTCACTTGGATATAACTAACTACCTCCCAGTAGTGAGTGATGTTCCAACTGGGACGTGAGTCCAGCGTCCATCGTTATGCAATATTAATAAATAACAACCAATGCCCTTTGCATAACTGGTGGGTGGAGGTGGAGGTACACCTAGCTAACGATTCCCAAGTAGGATGAAACGCACGTCCTGGATTCTACTACCAATCACTAAACACACTACAAAGTTCAAGTGTTCATGGAATTCAGTTCAAAAATATGTATACAGAAAATGATATGCCTTGTAAAACAGTGTTATGTATGTAGCTTATGTGTTTAACAGATCGTTAGTCAACCGTTGGATTACTAATCCAAACTTTGCTCCATCTTTTTAAGTCTGGGTAACACTGGTTAATATCATAAAGCCTTCATACAATAACTGTGGTACAGTCTGCACTGCTTTACGTTGCACTACATTTTAAACGCAGTAAAGATTTATAAGCTACCGCAAAAAGAATATTCTTTGTTCATTAGATTGTTTTGTGAATTATGAGGGTGTTTCAGGACAATTATGGGTCATATGCAAAATTTACTGTTAACTGAAAGTCATAAGTTCGAATTGTACCGCAACTTCAGTAATCTCACCACCTCACTACTCTTCAAAAGTGAAGTCGCTGTGCATTTGTAAAACATCTCAGAGAAGATTGTTTTGTTTAAAATTCTAGCGATTTTAAGGGATGTGTGTCTATGTGGCAACTAAGATATTGTGTAGTTGTGACTGATCGATTTATTGAATTGGCTTTCAAATAGGGAATCGGGGAGTCGTACATCGTCTCACCTATTGAGGTTTAAACAGCCAAGTAGTAATTGACCCTACTGCCGACTGCATTATTGTGCACAAAGTTGTTTCGGTTCCTTTCCGTTTCGGTTGGCTATAATATTACCGTAATAGGAAAATATAATTATTGTCTATAAATACATACTATGAATCGAAAACTTTTGAGTAAACTGTTTTAAACAGTTGTATAATATTGTGTATGATACCGCCTATAGACGTTCTTAACTATCTGACCTGTATGTGATTGTGTTTTTAGTAGTTATGAAGTAGATAGAAGTAGCTGGCTTCTCAATTTTATTTCTGGTATGAATATTCACGAAGATATTACTCTACTTAGCCATCATATAAGGAATTGTTGTACGCCAGGAATTACTACATAACTATATCTTCTTGGTTTAGAACTGTTCAACAGTAGATATTCACGAAACTACGTCATAACGCCTTCAGGACTTGTGATTTACATATCACCATTCAACCGCTAGGTTTTTAATCGAATAGTTCATCTACATTTTAGACAAGTTACTACATAGGTTGACTAGTATCTGAAATCAGTGATTATAATGATCACTGAACCATTACTGAATTGAGCTGTTCCATAGGTGTAAAGCGTGAACAAATACACCATCGTGAAGTTAATCAGTCCACCTACACATCTTCGTCTGCATAAATAATAAACCTTTCAAGTGTTACGCATTTCCATGGCATTATTATTATTATCATTATTATCATCTCTTTTGATTATTTTTTCGGCTTTCTTTTTAGATTTTCCACTTTCTCCAGTCATACACGTATACAGAAAGCATGTACAGGCAGTGTAAATGGTTCTTTAACATTTTATGATTTTAAAATTGGACGCTATTTTGTAAGTTTTTATGTCACATTTTTTTTTGTTTGCGAATTATAATTCATTCGATTTATGTATTGTATATATACATGTTTTGACCAATAGTCTTTCATTTGATTGGGGTACCTGTCAGTACTCACCAGCTGATTACATGAGAAGGCCTATGAAGAAGCCTGTATTCATTGTACGAAAGTGGGTCAGTTTGTAACTCAGTTTGAAGATAGTAATTGAAAACATTCACTTTTCCTAGTACACATTTGAAGTAAGCAACGAACTGGGTAGTTGAATATTCGGCTTACTTGACTATATCTATGTGCCATACTGCACTTCAACATAGAAGTGGGCAATTTTTCTAGCCAGTTGAACATCTCAAATGACAAGCGTCTAGTTCACTCAAATCTCTCTATATGTCAGCCGTCAGCGAAGACCAGGAGCAAGTATACAAACATTTATGCACGTACTATTAGGTAAAAATACATCTACAATACCTTATTTGGCTCGTTTCTTGTGCAAGCAAGAAAGTGTTAGAAATGAACTATCTAAAATCAACTTTTGCTATATATTTTTCAAGCAAACCAATTAATGATTATACAGCTTATTGTTATCTAAGACTTCTGAATCTAATTGCTAGTTTTGATTATTTATCTAAGTTAACTCTGGACTTTTAAGAAAGTTGTAGATAGAGTAAATGTTCTTATCTTGTATGTATACAATTTCTACTTATTTCGTTTTATTTTGTATACATAAACACCATTTCTATCTAAGTGATGCCAAATGATATGCTAAAAATCCTGTACAGTATTCCCGGAGTATCTTTCAGAATAAAACCATTATTATGATAAATTGGTTGTGGCTAGCAGGAGAATCCAGGATGCGCGTTTCATCCTATTTGGGACTCGTCAGCTGCGTGTACCTGCACCGCACTGATGTTCTTCCCACTGGGACTCGGACCTCGTACGCATCGCTTCAAAAGCCAAGGCGTTATCCAGTATGCCAAGAAGGAACGATAGCCACTTCTTGTAAAACGGGTGGTAGTTATTACTATTTATAGACATACTTGTTATTCTCCGTTGTTTTTTTGTTGGATCGAATTCTTCGACCTCTATTGGTATGTGGGCTCCTACGTGGATACCTCGATATTGCCTGAATGTTAATTATGATAAATTAGCTGGTTGTGGCTAGCGCAAGAATCCAGCCAATTTATCATAATTAACATTCAGGCAATATCGAGGTATCCACGTAGGAGCCCACATACCAATAGAGGTCGAAGAATTCGATCCAACAAAAAAACAACGGAGAATAACAAGTATGTCTATAAATAGTAAAAACCACCATTATTTGTATTATTGGTATTGGATGATGATTGTAGGTGAAATGAAAATTTGGATCGCGAGGGGATTGAAACTAGTGACCTCAGAGTTACCAGCTAGGTGCTCTACCGATTGAGCTACAACGTCCGACTGCTGACCAGATTTTTATTTCGTCCCAATCATCAAGGGTTTTACGTGACTACCATGTCAATTTGTGCCGCGTTACTATCGCTTGATCGTATTCACACTAGCCATCTCATCTAAATCCAAATCTAACTGAATTATAGACGGGGAGCATCGTATTGATTATCACTTGACTATCTGAGATAACCGTGGTTTGACAGACTTCTACTGATATTGAGTGATGTTTGAAGGTGAAATGGAAATTTAAACCGCGGTGGGATTCGAACCAGTGACCGCGAGGTTATCAGCCTGATGCTCTACCAACTGAGCTATGAGGTTCTACTGCTAACCAGATTTTTGTTTCACTTTAATCACGAGTATCAATACAAATCTGCCGAACCAGGGTTACCTTAGATAGTCGAAATTATTATTATTATTCAAGGTTGGAGAACGTTTTCCACATGATTAATACATTTCAGATAAATCGCCTCCTCTCACGCATAACAGTTCATAGTCAATTCAGATTATAGCTAACCGATGAGTATGTGGTGAAGTACACAAATATACAAAGACCATTAGTTGTCAAATCTCTAGATCTCTGTCGTATCTTATTGTCATCACAGTGATTTGTATTCTCTTTTATAATGACTTACTCTTATCATCTTGTAATACAGTGCACATTTGGATGTCTGTATTTTTTGTTATTTATCTATACCCAGTCTACTATTAATCGCTAGTTCGAACCCTGTAAGAAATTAGTCTTTGTTTTTTTCGTCTTAATATATTATTGTTATCATATCTGTTGTTCAGGTAACAATGGCTCATAAAGGTCCTGTAACTGCTGTCTGTTTTCATTCCGATGGCCGACAAGTGGCAACTTATTCACTAGCTGAAAGTACTCTACGTATATGGCAGGTGGGAAATTATATTTCTTCTTTGTTGTTGTTTTTAACTCTCAGACTATTGATTATCGATACTCTACTTGACATTGTGAATGTTTATTTGTTTTTTTGGTACACTTGACTGAAGTTTAACGACATCTTTCATGAAGTTAACCAGCGTTATAAACGATGAGCGCTTCACTCATGATCATCTCACTCCATCCATATATCCATAAAAGGTGTAACTCTGTCAAAAGACAAAGCAACTAGTCTAAAAGTTGCTCTAATAAAATACTTTAAATCATCAATTAGGTTTGTTTATAATTTGGAAAAATTTAGGAAAAAAACAATTGGACCTCAGGTTGATGAGTGTCGATGAGCACAAAACCTTGACTCAAGGCTTCCTACTGATTGCCTCCATTCTCATTGCATCGGAATGTTGAGTCAACTAGTCTGGTGAACACATTGCAAAATATGATCAAGCAGAATTTCACTAGCACCTCAATGTCCAAGAGGTTTGGTTGGTTATTTCAATAGGTCATAAGATAATCTTTAAAGTCACTTTGGCCACTGAAACGAAACTATGACTGATTTAGAGAAGTAACTATCATAGAGTGTGGCGATAGTTAATTAGATCGAACTTTATACAATGGGTTAGTTAAGCACCTTGAGCAACGATTAGTTGATTTCGTAACGATTCTTTGTTATTTTATTCATTCATTACTGCACTTCAGGTATATTTTCATTGAATTATGATTAGCTAGTGGATAACTGTTTTAATTTGTGAAACTATTCTTATTTAGGTTTTGAGACATGCGCCTTGCAAGTGATTGTCTATAAGTAAATAGCATTGTCAGCATGATCAGTATATGTGTAGTTTCCCAGTTCATCTAGTCCAGATTTACATATGTATTACACAATAATTTTCCTGTGAAACTCTGTAGTTATGACCTTGATGGTCAGGGTCATAACGTTATTGTATACATACATACTTTGTGAAGTCTCACGGATCAATGATTAAGAATTGTATGTTACACGGCTGAAAAGTGGTCAAACTGATACAAATCCACTCATTCTTTATTAATAAGGTAAATGTCTTATAGTGGTTAGGAGTGGGATCCAAGCTGCGTGTTTCATCCTACCTAGGACTTATTAACCGGATGCACTTGCAATGCAGTGGGTGATGTTCGAACCCAACACCTGTCGCTTCAAACTCGCAAGAGGCGGCCTAGTGGACAACGCTTTCGGAGTGCAGGTACATCTAGCTGAGGGGTTCCGAATAGGACGAAATATATGTCCTAGGTCCCATTGTAAGTTACCGAGATGAATATGATATAGTAAATAGGAGCCCGATCTAGTATAGCAGCGGGAAATTACAAGTATTAAACAACGAGTATGTTTTTAAACAAACAGTTGAAGTTCGTTAACTAGAAGGAAATAACTGGTTCAGTAGTGCTTATTGATTTCTACTACTTTATCAAACAGTAAAAACTTCGTTTCGGTTAGTTAATTACCCTGAAAAAACCACTTCAAGAAACAATTTTTTTTATCGATCAACTGTTTTTTCTATTGTTTTCCTTTAATATTTTAGCTTCATACTACTGGATTTTTTGGTATGGGTGGACAACAAGTTAAACCTTTATCTATCCATCCTGTTCCACCATTGATTCCGCCTCCAACACCTAAATTATCTTCATCATCACACAAAGAAACTGATCATAATCAAACTTCTTCACTTCCAACCACAGATCGATTACAAGTATGGATTGATTGGTCAGAATCTCGTGTATTGCATTTGATTACAAATACTGGTATTAAACGACGTGTTGCATTATAATGACACGAAATATGAAATATTTTTGTCTTCTTTCATTGATTCCCTTCTTCTCTTGTTATCATTGTTGTTTTATGATTGAAACTCACTTCATTTCTTCTTCTTTTTTCGAAGTGTATTGAAAGATATGCACAAAAAAATTCAAATTTTTACACACATTCCTTTTATTATCATGAAAAATGAAAAGAGGTGAATTTTCATCCATTCTCTTTTTAATAACCTTCTGAACGTGATCATTATAAACTACCTTTATACATTTTGTATTTGTTATTTGCCTGATTTGCCTTCATATCTGTTTATATCTAATCGAATGAAGAAGTGATGTCCACTAACATTATTATCATTTCCATTTGATTCTATTATATTTCTCTTTATATCGGTTTCATTCCATGGTATTTATCCATACTACTAACAATCTATCAGTAGTTCAATATTTCCTCATAAAGAAAATGATGCAATGGATGTGATTGAGTAAGTGGACGTTCAGTTTTCAACGTTTTTGTTGTTGTTTTAGTTGACATTCATTTTAAACACGAATGAATTGCACACTTTCTTGAGACATATTTCGATTAATGATATTACAGTTTAATTACTGAATGAATAGTGATATCAACAAGAATAAGGATAAAAGTAGAGAGTTTTTTGTTTCGGTTTTTTTTTTCGTTGTTTAAAACTGAAACGTTTTTCTGTGATCCGGGGACATCTTTTGATGGCTATATTTGTTCACTTCGTATTTACCTGTTGCTCTTCTGTCATTTCTTGACGTGAATGGCTGCCATTAACACAACTGTGCAGTTATAGCAAGTCTGTGATTAAATTATCACTACTATTACTTATTCCCATTGATTTTTCTCTTTACTGTAGTATATATGTGGTGCCTGTTGCCTGGTAGTTTTTGAACACTTCTTCTTTTTCTTCATCTTCTTGTTAATTTTTAGTGATAATTCTTCTTTGTTATCTCTTCTTGTTCCTATGCATATATACATTGTAAAGATTTTCACCTATGTTGCTTGTTCTGCTTATTTGCTAGTACGGTCTGTATGGTTTCTTATTCAATCATTATTATTATTATAATCTTGAAAATCGACAAGTTCCATCCAATTTGCTGTCTTTATCCATTCCTCCTTCCCTTTCATCTCGTATTTTGTCTGTTTACTTGCATCTATGTGACTGTGTATGGAATCTATTTTCTTCAGGAAATATTTATGCATCTATCAAAAAAAAAAAACCAAAACAGTATAGCTGTCAGGTATTTAACTATTTGTGTGTATTATCTTGCCATTCTTCTACTTACTCATAAAGAGGCATTATTTAGCAATATAAATAATAAAGTAATTCTATTCAATTATTATTATTATTATTTGTCCCTTGAGTTCCTAGTGGAACACACAGCTTCAGTAGCACGTTTCCGTTTTACTCTCTTCTCCGCAGTCTTTGCAACCTGGCTCCACGATTGCCCATAAGCTTTCTTATCTTCCTCGCACCATCTCATCCATGTCGCCCTCACCTCGGATGCGCAACTCTTTGTTTATCCTTTGAGTTCTACTTTAGGACCTGGCATGTCACGTGGTGTCCCCAAACAGTCTTCTCAGTGTATGCTCGACACATCTCCACTTTCTTCCTCTGCATATTTGTTGGGAGATAGGTTCTTGGTTGGTTGGTTTGTTTCAAGATGCTGCGATGAAATAATCCCCACTGGTCAGCCAGATGCATTTAATCAAGTCCCCAGCTATCAATACAACATTTTTGAGCATATCTAATGAAGAAAGCTTCTCCATTCATAATGGGACTGCTCCTTAACTGAAGTCCATTAAAACATAAACAGAGATGACAAAAAGACACCACCTTAGTGAAACCATCTTGCCTAAAAAACAGTTGACTAGTGCAGCTTAATGGCACTTACTACAACATCAATAAGGCTGGCTGCTTAGGTCGCAGAGTTCTTGGATAGGCGCCCTGTAAATAGTCATTGAAAACTAACTAAATTGGAAGGTATTCAAAGCACTTCACTGGGATCTTGTAGGTCCACCTCTGAGATAGAGTATACATTAGTGTTAAGGCTTTTCAGAGTCCTAGCCTAACCTGTCTATTGTTCAATCTTTATTATGATCTGAATGTTGAAAGCAGTCGGCTTTAATGTTGTACATTTTTTCAGAATAGTTCAATGAGACATCGTACTGAAGGACAGCTTTATGAAAGGACCTGTCTAGCGAATCAAAGCAGATCAGAAGTTCATCCAGTGACGAGTAACTGAGTAAAACAGAGATTCGTATAAATGTAACTTGGTTTAGCTATACCCAAAATATCAAGGACAAAATAACGAAATCATGAGGAAATATGAGTTAAAAAGAAAATAGGACCGGCTGATGAAAATTAACAAGTTTCATGCTCTAACATTGATGTGACAAGTTGAAATATCTAACTTTCTGCCATTATCTATTGGTTTAAGTGACTAGGTATTTTCAAAGAATAGTCTGCTGTGAAAGCTATAGTCTTTTAGTGTCGTAAGAAAAAGAATTTAAACGAATTTAATGCTGTGATACCAACGCCTAACTCCTCTACTTACATTCTTTCCTATAGATTTAACTTCGTTTGAAAACTGTCGCCGCCTCACATCTAACTAGGTAGATTTTAAATAATCATAAGAATCAGTGGTTATAGATACTTATCGAATATGATCCAGAGATCAATTTAAGGTACTAACACAACTGTGGACTTTAGGTGTTATGGCGTAGCATAATTCTATCATAGTTCCTCTACTGCATGTATCATGTAGTGAGAGAGTACTATTTACTGGATGACAACTCGAGCACATTTTATCGTTCATTTTCATATTAAGGTAATTACAAAACTCAAAAGTCTAGTCATGGTTTCCAGTGAATACAACCGAGTAGGGTTTTAAAGTCAATTGCTTATTCTATCCATATACTGGGTGGTGATTGAAAGTGAAATGAAAGTCCGGCTGATGCCGAAATTCGAACCACTGACTTCCAGGATACCGGTCGGGAGCTCTGCCAACTGACTGGTGACTAGATCTTAATTTTATTGTCATGTGAATTAGTTATGCGTTACTATCGCTTGATCGTATTCCCACTAGCTGCCCAGTCAGGACTTCTTATTGTAATCCAAATCTACTTGAATTAGAGACGACGGAGAGCACCATATTGGTTATCTGAGATGGCTGTGGTTGTCACACTTGTGTTGACACTGGGTCAATAGTCCAGTCTCAACTCAATTTGTAGAGCACTGAAATAGTGATTTGGAGGTCGCTGGTTCGAACCCCACTGCGACCCAGATTTTAATTTCACATCCACTCATCACCCAATATGAATACAAGTCTACCGAAACTCGGCTATCTCAGACAGCCAAACTAACAGTCTATCTATGCTTGCTGATTCGACAAAATTTTCATTAGAAGCAATTGAAGTCAAATACGTTTGATTAAGGTATTTCTGTGTTACCCGCAGATATGCAGACACTAGTACAATGAAACAGTACAAAAAATCTTTGACAATGCTTACCGCTTACCATCATGTAACATAAAACACGCTTTTTCACAATATACATATCATCTGCTTCTCTAGGAGGAAACATTTGTCATATATAGTGCACCGATTTCTGTTATAAACGTTAAAAGTTACAAAGCAATGTAATTGTCACTTATCTTAGGCTAGTTGGTAAACATTTACTTGCTTTTTGGTTATATTTACCCTTTTAAAAAAGCGACTCTAAAGGCCACCCTAGTAACAACAACTAAAGTGGTCAATCAGAGACCTTGACTTCGGTTAGAAAGGGTAGATTTGATGGGCCATTTCAGTGGTTGTCAGTATGGCCTTTAAAGTCATTCTTTTTACTACATTATATACGATACAGCAGTAACCCACAGTATCGTAATGTTCACCTAGTCTAATTAGAACTTGTTATATATAACCAAGAGCCTCGACTGGTTAACTAGTTCACTAGTCACTAGCTGGTCCTAAGCCCGGGTAAACAGGGAAGCTTCGGCATGGGGCTAGCAACTCTATCCCGTAAAGCCGATCTAACTACTACAGAAACTTAAAAGCACAAACAAAATATCAAAAATAAAAACAAAATTATTCCTTGCTGGAATCGGAGAGACGAAATGATGACAGTTGGTGAAAGCCTTCGGGAAGTCAATTGACCGATATGTCTTCTCTCCCTCAATTAAAGCAAAAGTAAACGTGGAGACATAGAATGTCCACACAACGTATTAACCTAGCAAGGCCACCCAGATTGCAAAAGAGATGAGGAGATGTGGCATTGAAGTGCTTGGAATCTGCGAAAGCAGTTGGAATGGAAGTGGACTCTCCAAACTGTCGACTGGAGAGTCAATAATCTACTCCGATGTTGTCACCCAGACAACAAGCATGACCAGAGCACACTGAGTTATGGAGTGGCTATCGTGATGTCCCCAACAGCATCGAAGGCTCTCTTTAATGCAATGGGAACCAATCTCCTCTTGCAGGATCATAACAGCCAGGTTCAACTCAGAAGGAAGGAAGGAAGGAAAGTCACAATCATTCAGTGCTATGCTACACACCTACAAATAATGCAGATGAAGAGAAGGAGGAGGAATTCTACAGACAACTGCAATCAACACTGGACAAGACCTCAGTTGGTGACACCAAAATTCTAATGGGTGGGGTGACATGAACGCCAAACTGGGAGCGGACAACACAGGAAGAGAACTCATGATGGGTCGAGAAGCACTTGGTGAAATGAATGAGAATGGAGAATTGTTTGCAGATTTCTGCACATTCAACGATTTGGTGATTGGAGGTGAGGCACTGTGTTCAAGCACAAGGATATCCACAAAGCGACATGCATTTGATTTCACCAGACACCAGGACACACTACACTGAAATTCAGATCGACTTCATTTCCATGTGAAGAAAGTGTGAATGCAGCCTACTTGACACAAGGTGAAGAAGAGGAGCAGATGTAGGTTGACCCCACTCACTATCTAGTGCAATGAACCTTCAAAATGAAGCTGAAAGCCTTCAAATAAGTTAGTGATAGACCATATTTGAAGTTGAACACCCAGAATAGAAACTGAAGGACGAAACTACAAAGGACATGACGTCAGTCAGTCAGCCATCAGAACAAAATGCGAGACACTCTTCTCGCTTCGATCTCTATATCACATATAGGCTTCATCCAATGGCAAGTTAGTGCTTATGCCATATTTTAGGAATTGTTGAAAAATCAACTTTCAGGTTTGAATCTATCATCTCTACTTATGAAAAAGAATTTTTATTCTTATTCTTCTTCTTATTACTAACTTAGTCTTTTGATTGAGGAATAGCCTGAGCTTAGTTATTCTCATGGATCTAACGTCTAAATCATTGAAAAAGTTAATGCGTATTTGTCAGAAGCAACTAGACGTAACATACGTGTGTTGATATCTCTACACGTGGTGATTGGTTGACTGAATCAATATAGGATCTAACAGAGTAGTGGTTTCTGTCAATCAACTATTTTATAAACTTTTCAACTGAAAATTCATCGTAGACTGACATCAGTTGGAGGAACTAAGTAGACGTGGAGGCACTGGGCAGCTGTTCCGTCCTAGTATGGGACTCCTCAGCAGTGCGCACCCATGACCCCGCCAGGGGTTGAACCCATGACCTTCGGGTTCCGCAGCCAGCACGTTACCATTTAGCCACTGAGTCTGAGTCCAGTGGTCTATATTTCCAACTTCTGTTAGCTCATGATATCGCGCAACCGCCACTCAATGTCATCGTTGAGTAACTGTCCTGACGACCATCAGGCTTTGCCTCCACCGGTCATTAGCCAATTTCCAAGATGATTTCAAAGACCACGGAGTGAAATTAAAAAAACTTTTTAGTTTAGTGTTGTTCTTTGCATCTTATAGTAAGAAAGGATATCAGACGATAAAAGTTAGTTATTCACATACATCTTCAACATAGTCTTCAAAGACAATAAAGACACTCAGATACATGTGATGGTACTGCCGGTATCCGGTGTGGTGTCTTGTAAGCTTAATGTATCACTCTGGAATAAAAAACATATTACAATGAATAAAGAGATTAATTAAATTACTCTCAAAACTATTTATTTCACACACTGTTTGTTCAGAATAATGACCATTAACGTTAGTCAGGCTGCAGAAAGCTGCCGCGACATGTCGGATACCAACACCAAGTAATCAATATGACTGGTACTAATTCTACTCGATTGATACTGATACATCCACTACTCAATATTAAAATGCATACGAAAAGGTAGAAAAATAAAGCTGTTTAGATGAACTATATCCAATAGTTAGGTTTAACAATAATACTTCTTTTTGATAACACAAATTACAGCTAAAAAACCTCTTTTTATTGGCATTAAGTATAAAATAATATATAAAGGTAACATCAGTGTAGTAAAAAAGTGTCAGGTTAGCAATTTCTAAAGCCAACTGTCCCAGGTTATTGACTTTATGTCATAAAGTTGACAAAGTTTATCCGATCAGAATGTAAGCCCAGGAGATCATCATTTATTTCCTTTGTTCAAGTGTTCAGTGTTGTTTAACTTAAACAAGTGAGGTAAGATAAGAAAAAGGCGAATTATTTGAAAAGATGGAAATTTTATGAATAAGCAAATCGAGAAAGAAAGTATCTATAAGACACCTATCTTTTTGACAAAGTTATATAACTGACTGATGGATATGTACTGAATGTATTTAGTTTTAAAACGTGGTTGCTAAAACATCTTGTTCAACTCTAGCGTGTTATCTTCTAAGATTGTTAAAGTAGCTGAAAAATGTATAAATGTACTTGAAACCAATTGATATGTGTACAATGTTCGAGGAGTCACATGAGCGTAACTTGCCCATATCCTTGCTGATGTGGTTTAACAACTGAAAATTTCGTCTTAATGACAAATTAATCGCTGATATTTTTGAATTACAATTTTATATTTAGCTATATAAACACTCCTTCAGTTACGTGGATAACCTTGAAGTATGGTGTTTCTAATTTTTCATTTTCTGTATGCTTCAGACTCGATCAGTTCGAATTATTCGCATCCTCACCCAGATATGCAGTCAGTCAACGACTGTTGGGGTGAGAAACCCTCTTGCAGTCAGTCAATAAGGGGGCCTATCTGATCTAGGTTTTGTAGTTGCAAGCATCGACAAGACGTATCCGCTACAAAGAGGATTATGGTATTCCGTTGATAATTCGAACCAGCATCACTCAGCGGTGAAGTCAGAGGCTTTACCCCTTAGCTTTATTCGGGTCACCACTAACCTTATGTGGGAGTGGATTGTGTATACAAATTCATCTACAGGTGCTAACCAATGTCTATCTCTTGCCATTTAACACTGATCACCGTCGGCTTGCCAAGTTCTGCAATGTGAGTACTAAGCTATGTGAAGTGACACTGCAATGCACTGCATTTCGGTGTTAGATGTTACAAGTCGATCAGCAGAAATTCTTGGAGTTAGGTTTTGAGCTTACAAAATCTGATTGATGAACATCAACTAGTACTGTGCACAATGGACCATATAGATAAATCAGCTACTTGTTGGTGACTAATTCGTGCAAACTTCAATTTTATTCACTGGCATAAAAGTCACTTGTCATCTGATATCAAAGTTTAATTTCTCTAAGATTTAGATAATTACGAAAGAATTCAGTGGTGTGTAACATTCATAATTTTGGTTAAAACAAAACTGTTTTTTCATGTCAAATCAATTATTTGCGGGTTTCATAGTAAAAAGTGGTAATAATATCAGATGCAAAGTAATTAGTTGTTCCATTGTGAATTTCTTCCTGAGGATGGAAACCTGAAGAACCACTTTCAGATTCCATCCTGTCTTGATAGTCGCTCAATACCTCGGTAAATAAAAAACGTGGAAGGATAACTAAAGGTGTGTTACGACACTATTTCTGAACCCTTCCACAAGATCATATCACCTTGATTTTGCCTCTCCAGCCAATCTAGTATCTACACGTGGTTTCACCTGCATTCTTCTCGAAACTTCACAGAAACTCGATTGGTTGTGAAATGCTTCAGGGAGTTAGAGTTTCTTATGAAGATCTGGATTTTGGAGAAACTAAAAACTGCTCTGGATTGAGAATTACAACCAGAACAGGCTGGCTGGCTTCAGGAAAAATAAATCATATGTGGATCAAATTGCAACACTATGCATCATCACAGAACAAAGCATAGAATAGCAGTCAACTCAGCATCAACTTCATCGACTTTGAAAGCCCCTTTTTCGATAGCGTCGACCGAGAAGTAATTTAACAGGCAGCTGCTTCAACACTACGCTTTTAGTGCCACAAACCTTTATCAACCTCATTTAGCAGCAGCTACAAGCTATATGATGCTACATGCCAAATGATTCACTATAGAAAGCCCAGCGATGCCTTTGAAGTGAAGACAGACAGGGGTAAGACCAGGTTGCCGCCTATTATCACCGATCATAATCCTGTTTGTGATCCACTCTACTGGACTAGACTAGATCATACAAGAAACTATGAGGAGCTGTGAGATGAGCATACGCTGTTAGACTGATGCGATGAAAAGATCCCAGAAGAAGACTTGTACATCGCTCA